TTTTATGCAGCTGAAAATAAGGAATATAGTGGGAGTTATTTTTAATGTAATTATGTATTACTGCATAGCAGTTCCTTGAAAGCTTTTACAGATCTGTAAAAAAAGAAAGTAAGCATATCTACTGTTCAGGATACTAATATTAATGTTCAAATAAACTGCTCTTCTGAACAGAATTGTACACTTAATGAGGAGCTTTGTTGAAATGTAAGAACTTACCCTTTTAGCGTATTTACTGCAATTTATAGTTAACACATCATTGATAGACGTACTCATCTTCAGATTTGTCCCATCTTAGGTAAACAGTTTAATTCTCTTTAGTTGTAATTGTTGAAATACTTTTTTCTTCTACAGTTTTGTGGTCTTTTGAAACAGCAATTTGACCGTGTATCCTTCTGAGCATGCAATTCTTTTACTATGTAGCTTGACATACAGCTTTGCATCACAGATCTGAAGTTGTATTATAGCTAAAAATTAGCTTTTTGTAATATTTGTAATGTTTGCATCTAGAGCATTGGATTATAGTTTTGCAGAAAGACTTTCATTGTGCTTTGTAGCCACCTGCCAAAATAAAAAAGCAGTGAGATAGGTCCTGATTCTGCTAAGAGGTGGAAGTCTTTAAGGGGAAGTGAAAAATAAGGTAGGGTGTATGTTTAAAATGTGGCTTTAGTTGCTCTGTGCTTTCTCTGTATCTGGATGTGTTTAGTCCTTACTAAGTGTACCTATTTCAGTTGAGCTTAATTATGGAAGTGATTTCAAGCTGAACTAAGAAGGTATTTCTAGTTACGAAATGTTCACATAACTATTCTGGGATGTTGTTTCTTTCTGTACCTGAGCCCTGAATTAGGACTGTGAGCAGTCAGTGGGAATATTCTCTGCATCAGACCCTAAATTCATTTTTAAAAGGATCACCTTCCCTAGTTACTCACTGTTTTAGAGACCTTTAAGTGACGAAGCATTTGATTTTTAGAAGTATGTCACTTTGTATATCTTTGAGTGATTTTATTAGTGTTTAGGAGTGCTTAAAAGAAATGCTGATGATAGTTGTAAGAACAAACATACTATAAAGTAACACTTATTTTCTTCTTTTCAGTTATAGAGAGATCTTTTTCACTGCACAGAACACACTCTCTAAAGGATATGGAAAATATTTTTCAACTGGTGCGCAATGTTATCCCTCCTCTAACAGGGAAAAGGCATAAAGGTCAAGATGGACGTGTAGGCATTGTTGGAGGATGCCAAGAGTAAGTTAAACAGAAATACGATTTTTGTTTCTGAGAGAGTTTAAGGATTTCATAAGTAATTGTAGAAGCCATTCAAACTCGCCTTACATTTAAAACATGAGTATTTTCCAGAGGGCTTTACTAGTCCATCGTCATGACCATGCATAGTTATGAAAGAACATGTTTCCCTGCAATTGTGTTGCAAACTTTTGGTAGCGATTGTGGTTGAAACTTGGAACGCTGTTTGTGTCTGTGTCTACATTCTGTGTCTTTTTTGACCACCGAACTCTCTCTGCTGTCAGCGTTAGTGTTTCCCCATTGCATGATGAAGTTACAGGAGAAGTAGAATAGAGTAAGACAGTGACACATCAGATTTATGTTTTTTTTTCTTTAATGTTTTGGTATCTTGGGAGCTGGGTCTCTTAAATCAGGACTGGAATCTTTTCTTACTGAGTGCTTTTTATTTTGAAAAATTGTGTTTATGACATTCTATCAATACCTTGTTTTATGTTCTGGAGTAGTAGAAATAGCATGTTTCAGATTAAAAAAGAGATACAGCATAAATCAGTTAAATGCTATACTGACCTAGAAATAGAACAGGCTCTATTCTTTTCTTGGCCAGGTTCAGTAATCTGCACAATACTTTGAATAAGCCACTAAACGTTCCTGTTTTTCATTTTCCCCTTTTGAAATAGAGATGGCATCTTTCTTGCGTAAGAGAAGTTTGCTGTTGGACATTGGCCATTAATAAACATTCTATAAAGAGCAAAAAGGCGCTCTCTTATGGCTGGGTTGATTAACCACGAATTAGTTTTCCTTTTGGTCTAATGGGCTTAGGTCCTTGCCTCTTGGTGGAAGTAAGCACCTCTGGAGGGTTATTCTGTCCATCTCTCTCTCTCTTTAGCCTTCATAAAAAGAATTTAGGACAACTGGAATCACAGTTCAGTCACTTCAGTTAAGCGTCTAAAACCAGATGGGATCGATGCAGGTCACAGATCCCAGATTTGGCTTGCGAACAGTGCTTGACTCTTAGGTTTTTGTGTTTGTCTCTAAACTTTTAAGTTGGTTGTCTGAGAAGAGTTTGCTCTTTCATGGCATGATCTTTCTAAATATTTCTATGAAAGGAACAGGTGCCTAAGATGAAATCCTGTGCCTTTGAAATCAAAGCAAGATTTGAGATTGGCTTCAGCATAGCAAGATTTTACCTGTCTTTCACAGTAAACAAAGGAGAAAGCTTTTGTAAAAATTTGCTGTTGAATTTGGTACTTCATTGTGGCAGGCTGATTACCAGATTATCTAATCTTATGACTGTGTTTCCTAACCTAAATTGTATTTCATTCTAGATACACTGGAGCACCGTATTTTGCTGCAATTACAGCTCTCAAAGTGGTACGTATTCTTCTATAGCAATCCAAAATGAACTTTTAATCATTTATACTGGCTAAGTGCCATTTTTAAGAGTATTTGTTCTGTGTTGCACATGAAATTTGAGTTCTGAAAGGTCTTCTATTCAACAAACAAAATCCTTAGTCCTGGATATGTAGAAATATTTTGTAAATATGTGTCATTTGCTATGTTTTCTGTAAATATTTTCTCTGTATAAGTTAGACATACGTCAATAATTGAAAATTTCAGAGGGAGAACTGTTTTATCAGAGATTGGATAGGAAATTTCAAAAGTTGATGAAATATTTTCTCCAAAAGTGAACAATAAAAGAACTTTAGATTAATGTTTAAAGTTAGGTTTTGAATGCTGCAGTCAGTTCTTCAGAATTTTTTTCTGGACCTCTTAAGTGTGTTGAATGAACGAACTTTCTTTCAAAACTTACAACTTCAGGCTAGTAAAATTCTTACATGCTGTAAATCTAAAGATTGTTCGTTGATTTTAATGGAATTTTTAAGAGCACATTTTATTTACATTATAATCTTTAGCAGAAGTATTTTGTAAGCTGTTTTCTAGAAGTGTGAACTTCCTTATTTTACTGACATATTAACTGGCTGAAAATATATTTACTGCAGACTGCATAAGTGCAGTTGTGATTATTCAAGTGTAAACAAATCATGCTTACATAATGCATATACTTTTCAGTACTCCATATATAGTGTGTCAGTACTTTTATTTTTGCAGATTTGTTTCGCTAAGTAGGTAACCAATCCAGGTATTTCCCCCACCCCGCCACCCGTCCCTCAGATGCAGTCCCTCAAGGATTTAAAACTGAAATTACATTATTTAATGATCTTACATAAGATAGCAAAGCCACTCAGCTTTCTGTTGACTATGTGCAAACAGAGTGGCATACTAGAAGGTCCCCTATTGAAGTCGCTTGGTCTCGGATCATTACATCTGCATGTAAAGAGTCGTAGGATCTAATCTCTGCATTGCTTAGTACCTTGAAATGTTAAATGTATAATAGTAAAGCAGAGGAGACGCTTTCTTAACCTTGGGAAATTTCAACATGCAAGACAGATACAAGATCAGGCTTTCTGGTCACTGCTTACCTAATTTTTATGTGTATGTCTGATTTTTTGAGTTGGTAACAGAAACTTGAGGCTAAACTTCTCAGCATTAATGTTTATTTAACTTAAAGGGTGGTGTTGAAATTTTACCAGCCTTCATCTGGTATGGATTTGGCGCATTAAGTAAAAATGGTAGGGCTGGAAATGTACTCATGGATTGCCATAGCTATATTTTGCAAGTCGTATTGGAAGTTAGATACAAAAATAATTTCTCCAAAACTTTGCATGGTAGTCTAAGCCAAAATAGAAAAAATAACAAAGTTTGCTTTAACTACTGAAAAGTAAGAATTCAGATGAATTACTCACTGAGTAAACTTTGGAATGATAAAGTGATTATTAAGTATAAATTTGATAATTCTGTTTGCAAATTTTCTTTTTTAGGGTGCAGATTTATCCCATGTGTTTTGTACCAAAGATGCAGCAACAGTAATCAAATCATACAGTCCAGAGCTGATTGTTCATCCCGTTCTGTAAGTGACTTATCTTTTGTTTAAATGAGCAAGTCAGGGTTACGAGTTTGAACATTTCAGTCTGACAGTTGATTAGTTTGTGTTATTTCTTTTTCTGAGTTACAGGATGGGTGAGCTGGAGATGACAAAAAGTTCTGGATTTGTACTTTCATTACAAACCCTTAGATATTTAATACGGAACAATCAGTTGTGAATTTTTTTCATTACTATGAAAGTACATTTTTTTAAAAAAGCAAAGATCTTGCTTTCCAGTGCTTGCTGACATGCGTTCTGTAATTGTAATGCATTTAACTGCGAACCGTAGCAGAATCCAGAACTAAGAATCACTACAGGTCAGCATTTTAGAATCTGCGTTTGAAAGGCAAATAGAGTATGATCTCTTGCTTCTTCAGTCCTAATAGTGTTTAACAGTAATGTATCTTTTTTCCTCTCACTACTGTCTCATTTATGCAAAATTACTGAGCAAGAGAGGTGCTGATTCTCGTTTCTCTTCATCAGTATGTTGCATTAGATACACACCTATTTCTGGGAAGAAATGGATGTTCTAAAACGATCTAAAATACAGGGTTTATTAACAAGAAGATGAAAAGTTTAATAAGCATCTATCCTAATTGGGAAAATCAGTGTGTGCCTCCCTGAATTTGTGTTCTGAAATACGTTACCGATTGGTGAAGTTTTACAGGTTAAATTGTTTCAATTAGGTGTTATGATGGTTTACAATGAGCACTGCAAATGAGAATTAAGATGTGTGCCTTAGGTGTATGTCCCTGAGCTTAGCTTGCACCAGTGCATGTCAAAGTCTGTTGGTGTACATAACAAAACTGTGATTAAGCTAGAAAAAGCAGAATTTAAAATCGTGTTTGTCAGATATTGCTGTCAGGAAGGATTTATGACAGTAGAAATATTTCAATGTCTGAGAGGAAGAATGTGATCTCCCTTATGGGGATGCCTGCAGTCGGAAACCATAAGTTTATTACATTCTAGAGGTGTGTTTCGTTCCTGTCAGTGTAGAGAGAGGTGCTTAGAAAGAAGTCAGTTAAACAGACAGATATCAAGGGTTGGGTTTTGTTGTGTTGTTTGGGTTTTTGTTCCAAAGATAGAAGAAACCCATGATTTTGTGGATTTTAGACAGGGAAAAAATGATTTTTGAAAGCAAGAGGAAGATACAAGGGTAGGGGTTTTACCAGTCCAACTGCATTAGCCTCTAAAATCCAAAAGGCACGCCTTCACTTGATGTTCTGTCTGATATCATGTGATAACAAATGAGATGGAGAATCTTAATGACAATATTAGCTTGTAACTTGGGTTCTCTTGATGGATGACACTTGGGGTACAGCATATGGCTGTCTTGTATGGGAAGGAGTTGACCTTGCCTTGGGAGAAGCATTTTTTATATGCACAGGGTTCTTGACGTGTGTGGTAATGGAAAAAGTTAATAGGAGAAACAGAAGCAGCATAGAGAAGAAGGGAGGTGACAATGTGTAAACAGTAAAATATCTGTTCATGGAGGAGCAGATTGTGCCTACTAGATAAGGTTATTTTTTATACACAGATTGTCAGTGTCTTCAGATCTCAATGAAAGCTCTGGTCTTTCTATTCGTAAAGAGAACTGTTGATTTTAAACTTCAGCTCTATCTGTAAATTCCTCCAGATGTATAAAGTACAGTGAATCTCTAAGTTTTCATATCCCTGTAGTTTTAAGTCTGAAACTCAATGTTTAATATCTTTATTACAACTCTGATTTCACCCAGACAGCTGGCTAATTGCATGAAGCAATGGATCTGTAAATATTGTTTATATGACATTCAAAATGAAAAAATGCAAATATCAGAATGTTCAGATTTTGTTTGTTAAATTTTCCCATATTTTTAATCTCTTCTGCTTCATTTGAGGAAAAGAGAAAACAGTCTTTTCTGGTTAGAAAGGAAAAAATCTTGACTGACTCTATTGAGCTCAGGTTTTATTCAGATTTACACAAACAGCCTATTTTTCTCCTGAGGTCTTTTGTCTTCAGTGTCACACTTTTCATATGATCTTTTCTAAGTTGTGGAGCCGTTCGAGTTCTGCAGCCATGGCCGGCTGCTCTTGATTCAGAGCCTGATCTCTTAAACAGTCTTTGTACTTTCTCCCGGGTCGCACTTCACGCATGGAAGAACCTCCGGGTAAAACCCACCGAGCAGCTACGTCATTGTTTTCTTTTGTGTCTCTCCTTAAAACTTTGCTTTGTTACGATTTCTCCATGACCCTTCAGAGTAACTAGGTAGCTGTTGTACCACTCTCTTATTATGCTAATCATAATTATGGCCCCATGTACTCCTCAATTCACTGTTTGAACAGCTTGGCATTTTGCCAGGGTTCGGCTGCCATTTTGTACTGCCAGGAGTCTGACATTTTATCATCTCCTCTGTGACTTGCCTGCCGTTACCTTTCCCTGCTGCCTTCACCTCACAGGGGATCACCTCAAGGGAAGAACGTGCTCTTTTTGTGCTGCTGGCCCCTGAACGTGAGGACTATTCTGGCTCATTAGAGCTGCCGTCGTGGGTCTTTGACGGCATGACTAGCGGAGGTATAGGACAGCTAGGTCCTTGGCGAATGTCTGTCACCTCAAGGATGCAAGGAATGTTATGTGAGAAAGACTGAGTAGGATTGCAGAAGGAGGGTTATGAAAACGGGCATCCATCTCGCAGCCCTGCCAGGGCAGTTCTGTGTGGCCCCAGCTGCAGACCATCCTGGGATTCCTTTTGGTGTAATATCCCGTGCTGGGACACCCATAACGCAGCTTTCTCTGTGGTTTTTGTCACGTTACTTACCTTCCCTCACAAGAACAGGGGATGAAGAGAGCTGGGACTGCACATGGCAGCCTGGCATCTGGAAGGGCAAAGTTTCAACACCCGGCTCTGTATGTCCTCACCACCTGGGCTGAATAATGATAGCTGGGTGTCTAGGGGCCATGAATAGTCAATATTATCAATAGTAGCTTTTCCTTCTAATTCAGGGATTCTGACAACTGCATTATGGCTCATTCCATGATGACTTGGTATTAATGAAAGTAGTAATTAAAAACTGACCAGCTAACCAGTTCAATGTTTTTGCTGACTGACTTTTTGCTTTCCTGTGGAGAAGTGAAAAGTGTGTGTTGAATACTGGAGTACACGGAGTCTTGGTCACAGCTGCCTTGCTCTTGTCACCAGTACCCCCAGTCTGCGCATTTTTCTGTTTTCTCAGCTACCATGCTCCTACCGTAAACTGTACACAAATACAGGCAAAGTAAAACTTAGCTTTTGCATTTTACTAAGTTTTATTACCGGTGTGTTCTGTGTGGATTTCTGCTGTAGATGTGTACATACTTTATTGCATTAGTATTGGGAACTTTCCAAATAACAGTTTGCAGGGGCTTTTTTGTATTTCCCTTGTTAATTCCCTGACTCAGGTCAGGTTGAATAGACTTCTTGGATACCTGTGTTGGGTTAGCTTATGCTGTCTTGATAGGCGAATGATCGCAAAGTTGAATGAGCTTTATGAACCCAGGTGATTATGTTTTAAAAGAAGAGAGAATAAATCTTACTGTGTTAGGTTCCCCTCTTGCAAGAACTTTTTCATAATCTTACAGAGTTTTTCTTTCTCTGTAGGCCAGGAAAGATCGAGATACTACCGAGTAGCCTACTTGTAACCTGCTTGTCAGACAATTTGTAAAGTCAACAGTCAGTGTACTCCTTGATTTTTGTGTCCAGTTCTGGGCCCCTCACTATAAGAAGGACATTGAGGTGCTGGAGCGAGTCCAGAGAAGGGCAACAAGGCTGGTGAAGGGTCTGGAGCACAAGTCTGATGGGGAGCGGCTGAGGGAGCTGGGGGTGTTTGGTCTGGAGAAGAGGAGGCTGAGGGGAGACCTGATTGCCCTCTACAACTACCTGAAAGGAGGGTGTAGTGAGGTGGGGATTGGTCTCTTCTCCCCAGTAATTAGCGATAGGACGAGAGGAAACGGTCTCAAGTTGTGCCAGGGGAGGTTCAGGCTCGACATTAGAAAGAACTTCTTCACTGTTAGAGTTGTTAGGCATTGGAACAGGCTCCCCAGGGAGGTGGTGGAGTCACCACCCCTGGAGGTGTTCAAAAAATGTTTAGATGTGGCACTTCAAGACATGGTTTAGTGGACAGGGTGGCATCAGGTATACGGTTGGACTTGATGATCTTTGAGGTCTCTTCCAACCATAATGACTCTATGATTCTATGATCTCCAGAGTTTTATCAGAGAAGTAGAATGAGATGTCAGGTCACTAATTTCTTGTGGTCCTGAAGAACTCACGTCATTTTTCCAGTGTCTCCAAAAAAGTCACTGTTGAGCTAGATACGGATTTTGAACTAATACCTTCCTCCCAGCTTGGTTGTATCTAGAGGTCTGTATGGACTAGGAAACATTACCAGAATTCCTGAAAGTCTTGCAGTTAATTGCAGAGTTCGAGTTTTGGGTTGGACTTTGAAGAAGATTATTCTTTTCAGTTTGAAATGAAAATAATTGGGGAGAAAACTCTCATGAGGCTGGCCTGTATGTTGAGAGCATTTACCATTAATGAAGAAGCTTAGCTTAGATCAAGGTTGCTGGAACATATTTTACCTGTTTTTATTGGATTTTGTCTATGTTTTGATGATTTGAAAAAATCATGAAAGCTAATCGTGGATAGCGAGCTCCTGATAAGTTATTTGAGCACTTTTAACCAGTGCCAAGTCTCTTAAAGAAAGCCCAGGAACAATCTTAAGATTTTTGGCCCTTTCTAGTTCATTACGTGGAGAGGAGATTCAAAAACATTGGTCCTTTGTGGGAGGACGCTCATACCTTTTAGTTGTGTTAGCTAAGGATAGCTATTAAACACTTTTGTGTAACATGGGACTAACTTCTCTTTTGAATCAGCTGCTGGAAGAAGTGCCAGAATTCTTGTCACCAGGGAAAGTCAAGGAGAAAACACGGATTGCTCCGATTACCAAAAAGGTGCCTCCCAAGTGACTTG